GTGATTAGGAGTAATGATAATATGAGTACTCATATGATACTCAGCCATCGATATGTAATTACAAATATTGGCATGTTTTGTATTGAACACAAAATTTATGTGCTTAGCTAAGCATACATACATATTTAAGGAGAAATGCTTCTTGCGTTTTTCTTTTTCAATCAAAAGTATAAAATAGTAGTTTAACATAACGCAAACCAAATAAATACAAGAACTTTACTAAAGTGTTATGATATTCCCTCTCTTCTATAGACACTTAACTCAATTTAGCTACTATGTATATCCTTTAGATGATATGATTAACTTATGTCCCAGTACCTTTTACCTAATCTAAAACTAATCCTAGAAGACTGCCTAATCCATTTTTCTCTTTCACCTTTTCTTTCGTTCTTATGTAAAACTTTATTTTTATGAACTGTATGTATGTTAGTTTGTATGATTATTGTATGTAAAAGTTGTATAATATATAAGGAACATAATTACAAATGAGGAAATACATGAGTGTACGAATGATTGATATTCATGTCACATAATAGATGTGTATGTATGTATGTATGTATATATGTATGTACATAGAACTATCTATAAATAGTATGTTTGTATGCGTCCAAAATATCTACATATGCATGTACATATGTACATATGAAAACGTTTGAATGCATATTAGCTGAGTATGTCTTTTACAATGATTTTGAATGTAGGTTCCTTTGATGCGAAATTCTAAAACAAAAATTTAAAATCATAAACCATAGACCTTAATTTTTTATTGTTGTTGCTGCTGTTGCTGTTGCTGTTGTGCTGCTGAATCAATGCGAATGCAAATTACTCTCCACCCACTTGTACAGTGATGTTTGAGAGCGCGCCACCCATTCCACATTGGAAGCAACACTGCTCAGTGTCATATTTAATACTTCCAAGCCGTGACCACGCCCAAAGCGATGCACTAACGATTTAAGCTAAAAAAAAAGAAACAAGAAAATAATAGTTTAGTTTATTTTTACGCTCCTATAAAGATATCTATTCAGCATATAACGAACCTCATCGTAATCAAATTTCGTCGCACCATATTGTGTTATCGCTGATATCACCTTGGCAAAACTTATCGTCCCGTGGCCCAGTCGCATTTCCAACTCGAACCACTTGGCCTGCAGAAAACGGCACGCCATTGCTCCGCCTGTCGGTGTACCGGCAATTGCCTGCAATACCTGCACTACTTCGACAGTTGGCAGCATTGTGACATGCGAGAGCAGACGATTTTGTAGCCAAGCGTCTTTGGTACGACCGAGCGCTCGCAAAAGTTGCATACGCTCGACAAAACTCTCCGATGTGCGCTGAAGTGTGATGAAACGTTCCCAACAGTGTTGCCAATATATGTACTCACCAGACAGTATGGATCCAGTGTAGACGACCTTTGTTGAGCGGATATACAAGTTTGTATTTGCACTATTAATATATATGTACATATTTTATTACGTGCACTTACCTCTCTCAAATTAGGCGGAATTGCGGAACCGTTGTAGAAAAGAAATTGGTTTAACATATTTTTTGCTTTTGTAATACTATCGATGTCCTCCCACAGCACTGAGCTTAAAAGTACTTCCGGCCTCATAAGCCTAAAAAGTAAAGAAGGAAAACGGTTTTTGAAAATAATATCTATGTGTAGTTCTTGATAGAGCATGCTTCAAAAATATGCATATCCTGACGTTTTGATGATTTTATTTATTTACTAGCAAATACCCGGCGTGCTTCACAGCGCCATAAACGTAGTTTTGTGCTATTTGATACCCGTATTGTAATACTTCTTTTATTTTATCAATTTAATTGAATAAGATTTTTCGAACAGGTGGCAACCGTCCTCAAAAATATTTTCAGTAGTAAACTACCCCAAAGCTCTTCAGTTTGATACCCATATTCCAATATTCAATTTATCTTATCAATTAAATAAATACAATTTTTTACTTTTAATGCACTTAAACTGCAATTTTCAATTAGGTGGCCACTCTAATTAGATTCTCAATTATAAACTAGATCTCTAGCAATATATCGGTGAAATCTGTATTCAATTCCATGTATTAGTTTTCCCGTTATGCCCGTACAAACATACAGACACAAATTTTAAAAATTGTTGATTGTTAATTTTTCTTTAACATCTATAATGTACAGACCAGTGTACGAAAATAAACTATATTGTACGTTACTATTTCGTTTCGTTTATTACTTTAACAGTTCGGTACAATACGAAACAAAACGGCTGAGTTCACTTTGGCGATAGTACACTACAGTAGTTTAGTAGTTACAGACGAAACAACAAACGAAATGAATCGTGCAGGGAAAATATTTTTATGTATGTACATATATGCAATAAACAAATACTTGGCATGTTTTGTATTGAACACAAAATTTATGTGCTTAGCTAAGCATACATACATATTTAAGGAGAAATGCTTCTTGCGTTTTTCTTTTTCAATCAAAAGTATAAATTAGTAGTTTAACATAACGCAAACCAAATAAATACAAGAACTTTACTAAAGTGTTATGNAACTGGTTGCCGAGATAGGTCGATCTTCCACTCAGCCATCGATATGTAATTACAAAGGTTGGCATGTTTTGTATTGAACACAAAATTTATGTGCTTAGCTAAGCATACATACATATTTAAGGAGAAATGCTTCTTGCGTTTTTCTTTTTCAATCAAAAGTATAAAATAGTAGTTTAACATAACGCAAACCAAATAAATACAAGAACTTTACTAAAGTGTTATGATATTCCCTCTCTTCTATAGACACTTAACTCAATTTAGCTTGTATGTATATCCTTTAGATGATATGATTAACTTATGTCCCAGTACCTTTTACCTAATCTAAAACTAATCCTAGAAGACTGCCTAATCCATTTTTCTCTTTCACCTTTTCTTTCGTTCTTATGTAAAACTTTATTTTTATGAACTGTATGTATGTTAGTTTGTATGATTATTGTATGTAAAAGTTGTATAATATATAAGGAACATAATTACAAATGAGGAAATACATGAGTGTACGACTGATTGATATTCATGTCACATGATAGATGTGTATGTATGTATGTATGTATATATGTATGTACATATNATAATATATAAGGAACATAATTACAAATGAGGAAATACATGAGTGTACGAATGATTGATATTCATGTCACATAATAGATGTGTATGTATGTATGTATGTATATATGTATGTACATAGAACTATCTATAAATAGTATGTTTGTATGCGTCCAAAATATCTACATATGCATGTACATATGTACATATGAAAACGTTTGAATGCATATTAGCTGAGTATGTCTTTTACAATGATTTTGAATGTAGGTTCCTTTGATGCGAAATTCTAAAACAAAAATTTAAAATCATAAACCATAGACCTTAATTTTTTATTGTTGTTGCTGCTGTTGCTGTTGCTGTTGTGCTGCTGAATCAATGCGAATGCAAATTACTCTCCACCCACTTGTACAGTGATGTTTGAGAGCGCGCCACCCATTCCACATTGGAAGCAACACTGCTCAGTGTCATATTTAATACTTCCAAGCCGTGACCACGCCCAAAGCGATGCACTAACGATTTAAGCTAAAAAAAAAGAAACAAGAAAATAATAGTTTAGTTTATTTTTACGCTCCTATAAAGATATCTATTCAGCATATAACGAACCTCATCGTAATCAAATTTCGTCGCACCATATTGTGTTATCGCTGATATCACCTTGGCAAAACTTATCGTCCCGTGGCCCAGTCGCATTTCCAACTCGAACCACTTGGCCTGCAGAAAACGGCACGCCATTGCTCCGCCTGTCGGTGTACCGGCAATTGCCTGCAATACCTGCACTACTTCGACAGTTGGCAGCATTGTGACATGCGAGAGCAGACGATTTTGTAGCCAAGCGTCTTTGGTACGACCGAGCGCTCGCAAAAGTTGCATACGCTCGACAAAACTCTCCGATGTGCGCTGAAGTGTGATGAAACGTTCCCAACAGTGTTGCCAATATATGTACTCACCAGACAGTATGGATCCAGTGTAGACGACCTTTGTTGAGCGGATATACAAGTTTGTATTTGCACTATTAATATATATGTACATATTTTATTACGTGCACTTACCTCTCTCAAATTAGGCGGAATTGCGGAACCGTTGTAGAAAAGAAATTGGTTTAACATATTTTTTGCTTTTGTAATACTATCGATGTCCTCCCACAGCACTGAGCTTAAAAGTACTTCCGGCCTCATAAGCCTAAAAAGTAAAGAAGGAAAACGGTTTTTGAAAATAATATCTATGTGTAGTTCTTGATAGAGCATGCTTCAAAAATATGCATATCCTGACGTTTTGATGATTTTATTTATTTACTAGCAAATACCCGGCGTGCTTCACAGCGCCATAAACGTAGTTTTGTGCTATTTGATACCCGTATTGTAATACTTCTTTTATTTTATCAATTTAATTGAATAAGATTTTTCGAACAGGTGGCAACCGTCCTCAAAAATATTTTCAGTAGTAAACTACCCCAAAGCTCTTCAGTTTGATACCCATATTCCAATATTCAATTTATCTTATCAATTAAATAAATACAATTTTTTACTTTTAATGCACTTAAACTGCAATTTTCAATTAGGTGGCCACTCTAATTAGATTCTCAATTATAAACTAGATCTCTAGCAATATATCGGTGAAATCTGTATTCAATTCCATGTATTAGTTTTCCCGTTATGCCCGTACAAACATACAGACACAAATTTTAAAAATTGTTGATTGTTAATTTTTCTTTAACATCTATAATGTACAGACCAGTGTACGAAAATAAACTATATTGTACGTTACTATTTCGTTTCGTTTATTACTTTAACAGTTCGGTACAATACGAAACAAAACGGCTGAGTTCACTTTGGCGATAGTACACTACAGTAGTTTAGTAGTTACAGACGAAACAACAAACGAAATGAATCGTGCAGGGAAAATATTTTTATGTATGTACATATATGCAATAAACAAATACAAAACGAATGGCTGCAATGAATAAAAAAAATAAAAATGTTTTTTAATTGAATTGGATATGAAAATTTACAGAAAAAATTATTTTTCACGTAATTGAAACGTTTGCATACATATAAAACGTACCCTATGGTACAATTGTCACAAACGAAAAGCAAACGTTTCTCGTTGGGGAAAATGACAGTGAATCTTACAATTTGTTTCTGACTATTTACAAAACTGTACAAAAGCACAAATGATATGATGATCGATGAGCAAATGGGAATTGTTTTGTACAGTTTATTTTCGTACCCTGGTACAGACATCGTACAGTGCAAGAAATATCAATTTTATTAGAGTGTGCAGTTTTGTGTAAATTTTAGTATAATAAAGTGCAAGTTTGAATGCCAAAAATGAGCGTTAGTTTTTGTGATTTTTTTGGCTGAGGGTATTGCGTATCTTCTTTAATATAGAAAATTGTTTTTTTATGCGTTATTTGGAAGAAAATGGTCTGAAATTTAATGGGCTAGAAAACCGCATACTCAAAATTTTTCTAAGAAGTCGAATTTTCTCGAATCCTGTATACAATTAAAAAAAAGGGATTATTGTGGCTTTTGCTGTTGAATGCACTGTATTTTATTCAAAAAAATATAAATTTGGTATGGAAAGTATAAATAAATAAAATCGTCAAAACGTCCTGGTATTCATATTTTTTACGCTGATTAAAACATAAAGGCTGTTTCAGTTCACTTCAATCTTTCAAAATGGGATTTGCATTTTAATTATTTTGCTTTGCTTAAAATATCGAAATTTTGCTATCTCGCAATTTGCCAAGGAATATGTTTAATTACTTAAAAACGATTGTCAATTCGTGCATCGCTACTAATATCACTGATGGATTGTTTCGCGTTTATCGTATAAAGATGGAAGAAATGTCATTTTGTAGAAGAAAAAATATCTAAATAATTGCAGTGGGAAATACTACGCTGCGACTAATCACTTTAGCGTAATCGATTTTGTCTGAAATAAGTATGAACAGAAAATAATGTTACTCAAACGCCATGTATCCACGCGTTTATTAAAACATTAAAGGAAAACAATAGCAACTGATTACGCGAGAGTGATTAGTCGCAGCGTAGTAAATAATTTGAGGGTGCACTTAAAAGTTGCGTTAGATTGGCTGGCGTAATGTTTGGTTGCACACCAAGTTTCTATACTAGGCAGGGTGGAGTCAGAAAACTCATTTTTTTATAGCGGGAAAGAACTGTCATCAAACACCCCTCCATGTGGCAATACAAGAAGAAGCAGCATCGCAAGCTCTGATGCTACATAGGAAAACAAATTCAAGCAAGGCGGCCTTGTTGGACACCTTGAAATCTTGAAAGGAAAAGGGGCAACCATGTCCAAAACCTTGTTCCCAGACGAAATTGATCCCATCCCCAGATTTACAAAGAGGTACAAGATCACACTTCTCTATCGTGAAGATTGGAGCAGAAACCCCACGTCGCCGCACGATGATTCATAAACCTAGTATACTGATGGTTCAAAAAAACTTACGGTATAGGTGCGGGTGTTGCGGACCGCGTTTCCGTACATCTTTCTTCTTAAGTAAAGGCGCAACGATATTCCAGGCGAAACTAACTGCCATTCTGGAGACCGTCAACGTCTTAATAAACAGGCAATATGCCATAATTAAAAGCAACATACATTTGGACAGCCAATCTGTCCTCAAGGCTCTAGATAGCTACTCGCTCTCATCAAAAACCCTTATAGAGTTCCATAGAGCACTCAAAAACCTAGCCGTCCAAGATAGGGTCTCCTTAATCTGGGTGCCTGGTCATGAGGGCTATGCAGAGGCTTGGCATCTGTAGTAAAGACATCTGCAGGTTCTGTGGTGAAGAAGAGGAATCAGTAGAACAACTTATTACTACCTGCCCAACACTAGCTCAGCGCAGAGCCAGATTCTTCAACGACCATACGCTCAGCGATATCGGCCTAATGCAGATTTCGCAGCAGAGCTTAATACAATTCTTGTGTATTATAAACAACATTTGGTCGCGGTGAAATGGGCCTGAAGAGCTATCCTTACATAACCATAACCATTACCAAAGAATTCACATGAAAAGGAGCGTTCTTTCTGAACCTTGTGTGTTATCAAAAGGCTCGGAGAAGTTCTTCCCGATTCTGCTCAACGTCATTTTACATAGAGCGTATTAGTTTCGAGGGGATACAAAATTCAGACCTCGCGACATAAAAGCAACTTCTTTTCTTGCGGTCGAATGTGGCTTTCGAAATCGATAAGAAGATGGTGTAAGTCAATCTTATTAATCTCATCCGAGGCTGAATTGGTCATTTAATAAGCATAGGAGCCCTTGCGGAAAAGGCTACAGTGGAAAAAACAAATAATCTTATTCATTTCTATTGACAACTCTAGCCTTCATTTTTTTATTAAATTATTTACTTCTTCAGTGTAAAACTTCAACGTAATAGATAATTGCACATGTGACCAGGATGTTAGAATGAGTTACATAGCTGCACTTTTAATTTGAAAGGGCAAAATACAAGGTAAAAAAATAAAAACATATGTTTAAAATAGATACTTTCTGGCTTAAAAATCTCAAATCAAAATTGGTTTTCTGTAACCAAAAATAATCTGTGAAACTAAAAGTCTTACATTTCCTCTCTCTTACTTACCTTTTAGCCTCGTTGCCTTCATCATTCCAACCGATTTTCTCAATTACGGTTGCCAATTTCATTTTAATAAATTCTGATAACATCAAGAAGCATTCTGAATATTTCAAAATACGACGCCATTTTTCCAAATGACGCAGCGCCACTGTCATTGGACCCCAATTCGTTTCACTCGGCAAATATTGTATCATATTCATAGTGATCTCACAAGGCAATAAATTCGCATGGCAGAGAGTAAAGGAATCTGAGAGTAAACCAATGCGGTCCTGAAAAAGTAAATCATCTTAATAACGGCACACTTCTGAAGCGCATTTCAATCACACTCACCTCACTAGAAAATTTGTCGAGGTTGTTTGAAAGCTCCTCAATTAAATTAGCCCAATTGTCATCGTTATACAAGACACGGTAGTATCCGGGCTGCATTGCATTAACCTTGATCCATTTGACATTCTCCGGTACATTGAAAGTGACTGCAAATAATAAAGACATTGTATAATTGATTTAAATATAATGCGAAAAACTCTTTTCTCATCGAGAAATTTTTTTATTTTTTTGTTTCACGCACCATCAATATTTTGCAACCATAGCGTTTCACTGACATTATTTATGTCAGTTATGTAAGTTATTGGGAATATCCATTTCATCTGCGTGGGTTTCTTGCTTTTACTAGCTGTTGTTGGTGCCACCGTGCTCGGCATTTCTGTGACATTCACTACTGTTTTGTTGTAGTTATTGCCGTCATAAGTCTCATCGTGTATGGCAAGAAATTCAGCCGGTTTGAAGGGTCTTTGTGATATGGATACACTGTTGCCTAGTTTGGTAACAGTTAGTAATGGGAAGCCCGGTTGATGTGTCCATAAAGTCATCATTTCCTTGAAAAAATAAAAACATAAATCAATATATCGATGGTTGAGTGGAAGATCGACCTATCTCGGCAGCCAGTTCGAAAATGCCCTATCTCAGAAAAATTTTTAACAACGCCCTATTTCAGTATTTGGTTGAAGAACGCCCAACTGAACTACATACGGTAAGCGTAAAAAACAGTATACCTTTACGCTTTGCCGATTTTATTCATTTATATTTTCCATACCAAATTTTTCTTATTTTTTTTATAAAAAATACAGTTCATTCCACATCAGAAACCACAAGGATAAATTTTTTAATGCCAACCAGAGCTCGGGAAAATTCAAGAAATTTTAAATTTTGGAATTCGATTTTTTATGGAAGAAAATGCACAGCATCCACTGCAAAAAAAAATTAACGGACTACAAAATATATATATAATATATTCAAAATTTTTCTAAGAAACCGAATTGAAAATTTGATGGGGATTTGTTGAGTTTTCGGAGTTCTGTACGAAATTCTGTAAGAAATCAAAAAAAGTATTCTGATTGTTTTTGCTGTCGAATGAAAAAATTTAAAATTTCGATGAAAATTTCCTGCAAAAAATTTGTGCTAGTGGTTTTTGCTGTTGTTTGAACAACATATCGTCACTAGACACGAATAAAGGCGCGCTAGTGTTTCGACGGCGAAAAAAGACGCATACAAAAATTTTACGAAAAAAGGCGCTTAAGAAAAACTTCGGCGAAGAAAGACGCCTAACCTAGTTGACGGCGAAGAAAGACGCGTAATCATAGATTTATACTTGGCGAAGGACTGCCACTTCGGCACTATTCCCCAAAAACTATTAACGGAATGTACATACTATTACACCCGCAAACATTTTCTTTCTTTCTTTTCTTTCTTCGCCGTCAACTATGTTATGTCTTCTTCCGCCTTTTTTCGAGGTCAACTTTTGAGCTGGCGCCTTTATTCGTGTCTAGTGACGATATGTATATTTATTTTAATAAAAAAATAAGAACATTTTGGTATGGAAAATGTATGCAAATTAATAAATACGTCGGGTATACTTATTTTTGAAGCTCACTCTAAGCGGCTGTAGATGCCTGCAGTTTTCACCACAGCAAATCAAAGTAAAATACAAATCACTTACTTTGATATTTTTAGAACCATTCGCTTTCTTTGTGCAAATTGTCCAAAGATCTGTGGGTTCGGCAGTTTTAAAACGGTTGATTTTGAGAAAAGCACCAAGGCAACCGCGAAAACGGTCCTCTCCAATGGCGGTGTGTAACATTGAAAATATGGCAGCGGTCTTTGTAATGAAAAGTGTTTTTATTTTTAGTTATTATTATTTTTGCAGCTATTTTTTAAACTATTTATTATACCTTTTGTATGAAAAACTCTTCATTATTCCCATCATGCTTTGTGCCATTCATAATACTATCCCAGCCCTGTATGGCATCAATGTCCAAAGCAGCAGTGGCCATCTTCAGCAAATACATTTCCTTCAATGGCCAGTTGGTTTGCTGTGGCGAAAGTGAATGTATGCCAAGATATTTTATAAGGCCTTCCCACAACCAGACATCCTTCAAAACCTTCCTCGATGTTATACCACCAAAGAACTGACGCACCATGGCCTCGGCTACTTGCAATGCGCTCTTCTGATACTCCTCCGTTGTAATGGAATCTGGATCGGTAAGAAAGGCGGTCTTCAGCGTTACCAAACCCAACGAGGAGATAATGTTGCGATCCAGTGAGGGCAACGCCACGAAGTCTACCTTCGTTAGCGGGTATAATATGTCCAGCCAAGTCTGTAGATGTTCCAATACGTCACGTGCGGTATGAAGTATAAAAGATGAGCGTGGCAGTAGATCACGTGGAGCGTAGAAGGTATAAGAGGGCGCGCGCTTTATAATCGAACCCGTCGACTGGCTTAGAGATGTTAAGTTCTTGCCATTCGTATCGGCAGTGGGCGCAATTGTCGTTGTGGTGGCATTTTTCAACAGATTGATATTCAGCGAATGGGTGAGCGCGGTGATATTGCGTACAGGTGGTTTCTTTTCCTTCAACTGGGTGTAGTTGTTGAGTTGCGCGGACTTTTTCGAGCCACTACCAGGCGGCGCAGGTGTGGTGGGCAAGTAAGCTGGTGAAGGTTGCAATGATTCACGCTGGAAGTCGCTCACCACCCAAGCGACTGCATCGGCAGGAAGCGGTGGCGTTTCAATAAAATCGTCACGTAGCTGCGTAGGAGAAATGTTCACGGTTTGATAGAGGCATATAAGGAGACTGAGATTGAGGGAATGAGGGATTTGCGAACGCAATGGAAGCACACTTACCAAACCTGTGCCCATGTAGAAGCCCACATCCTCTGTGGTGTGCACAATTGAATTGGAAAGACCAATGTGGAAGCGATCACGGAAAACGGAAATGCGAAATGGCGCGCGTATTTGCGGCTCATCGAAGCAAGGGAAGGCGCGGCGCGCACCATTCGGTCGAAATACTGTAGCTGCTAGTAAACTGTAAAATTGCAAAGAAATAGAGAACATTTTATACATGTACATATGTACACGCGTACACACTTACCGCTCAAGACCATTCGAGCTTTCATACTGATCCACATAAAAGCCTTCTGGCTCCGGATTCAATTTCGAATACCAACGCAGGTTGAGCGTGTAATTGGATTTCTTCTTCAGTTTTTCCTTGACTTCAATGTAAAATTGCTGTCGCGGTGGATACTCCAACACTTTGACGATTTTAATAGCGTAACCTTTATTCCCAGACGTCACAATTGCCTATAGAAGAAGATAGGGAAACGAGTGCCACGAAAAAATTAATTTGATGAGAAGTTGTATGGAATGCAATACAAGTTACAATATAAAATATAAAACAGATACAATAACAACTTATCATATACACAAACAACTCACCCTATCGGTTACGTTCAAGTCCTGTATGTGCAGCACTATGAAATTTGTTTCCTTCTCCACGAAAAGATCAATTGTCACTTGACCTGATAAAATAAGCAACAGAAGAAATAAATTGATTTAATTTTATCCACTTAAGAATTTTTTGGTGAAACTTCGTCTTGCCTTTGACGTCCAACGTCGTCAGATTCGGATGTATTGTCACCATGTAACGCAATGGACGCGCGTTTGTCGGCAGTGCCATTTCCAGCCAGGGATAGGGCTCTCCATTCGTCGCAATCGGATTGAAGGGTTGTGTGTCGTTCTCTTCATCCGTTTCGAATCCAGGTGCCAATTTACCGGCGCACGAACAGTCTGCAATGGCAAGCAAGCAAACAAGATGCCAAATGGAGGATAATGAAGTGTATGAGAGAAATTATTGTTGTTTATGGATTTTTTTTTTTGTATTTCTCTATATTTTGTATTTGCTATTTATTCGTATTAAATAATCACTCAGGTAAGAGACTATAGGGGTAGGGGGAGTATAATATCAAAAATATAAGTATTTATAAAAAATAAAATTCCTATAAATCTAGACTTTGTTTAAGACATAAAACAGCTTATTGATGTAATAATGTGGAATTTATTGGGATAAATTTTAGTGTTTTTAGCACACTATTTGAATCTATGTTATTTGAAGCTTCTATGTAAGTATATATGTACATACGTACATAAATACGAAATCGTTTTAATATCTAAATTACAAAAGTATATTCTATGTTTATTCGTGCGGGTCAATTTGTATAGACGATTTTTTCAACTATGCGCGTAATGTGAAAATTGGCTAAGGAAACCATGGTTGCTTAGAGTTTTGCTGTAGTGTCGTAGAGAAGTGCTTAAATTTTGTATAAAAACATGCTATAAGGGGTTCTCTAGTATGGCGATCCATTTCTGCACTTACATACATATATTTTTCTTTAAACTTCCACCAGAAAGCGCAGCAGTGCTAACTTTTCACATTTTCTTCGAACCTATTTTCGCAATTTGCCTTACTCCAAATAAATTTTAGACCTATGGTTTCTTCGGCAAATTCGCTAAGAATCTTCCTATGCTATACGCGCATAGTTAAAAAGATGACCCACCCTAATGGTTATACATATATATGTACATATATTTATGAACTAAACTTTCTATAAGACAAACATCTATAAAAAGGGTCCAGAAAAAAGGAATAATTTCATGTGGCTATGTGTGCATATATTTATTTAAATGTCTACTTATACGAGGGTAGGCTGAAAAGTTTTGAGCCTAAGTACCTTTAAGGGCCATTTACACCATTTCTGGTTAATTTTAACTCCCAGCTAAACATCGTTACCGACACCCAGCATATAATATGTGATCGATAAAGCAACCGATGTGCTTAACTGAAGGATGTACTTCCAGACGCCAATTGCTAGTTAATTAGTAGTAGTAGTTTAATAGTATAAATACCGAATTTCATGTCATTGGCCGGTTTCACACTGGAACATTTATACCACCAGAAGAGGCAGTACGGTGGGGTAAAGTTTCTCAAAAAGTAGTTCCAGCTTCTACTCCGCATTAAAGTGACAGTTCTGCTGCAGCGCACTAACACGTGCGCGACTTCAAAAATGCCGCTACGTATATTTCAAACGCAAAGTTACAAATCTTTTCAAACGTCCTATACGTATAAACATTTTGTTCTGCTACTTTTCATGCAGTGTGAAACCGTGAGAATAATTGCGCTGCCATCCTAGTGTGAAACAGCCCATTAACATCATTACGCTTTCAGTTAAGAACAACAAACCGTGGGCGGATGTCTACAGTGTATTTAGAGTTCTGGACGTAAGATAATTAAGGCATGAAGGGAGGCACTGGAAGATTATCCGAAGAAAATATGGGAAAAGTAAAAAAAACTGGTTCTATACGTTCTGAAAATCAAGTTGTGGTGGATGCGCGATGGGTGCCGAAAATGCTCACTCCGTTGAACAAACAGCGCCGAGTCACAACTTCGCAGGAGTTTTTGGTCGTCTTTGGCGATAATACAAGCGACATTTTTTCTCGCATTATCATNGAGTCACAACTTCGCAGGAGTTTTTGGTCGTCTTTGGCGATAATACAAGCATTATCACTGTGGATGATGTGGCAGTATGATCCGGAGTCAAAACAGGAGTCTGTGCATTGGCTAGAAAAGGAAGAAAAGCCACCACAGAAATTCAAACTGGAAAAATCAGCATGCAAGCTTATGGCCACTATTTTTGGGGGTTGTGAAGGTATTTTGTTCATCGACTATCGACATTTTTAACAAGAGTGTGTCAATGGTTGTCGAGAAACGGGGAGGCCAAGGTGTCCTGTTTTGCCAGACAATTCACCCATGCACACTGAGCGAGTTGCAAGTCCTGCCCTGGCCAAAACTGCATTTGAAAAAATCGACCACCCACCCAACAGTCTAGACCCTGGCCCCCAGCGACTACTTCCTTTTCGCCCCAATTTGAGGAAAAACTCCTAGGACGAAGATTTTCGAGTGAAGAAGTGAAGGCGGCGGTAGACGAGCATTTCAATGATAAAGACTTTAATTTTTAAAAACCGTTTATGATAAACGAAAGAAGTGCATTTAAGTAAAGGGAGATTACNGCGGTAGACGAGCATTTCAATGATAAAGACTTTAATTTTTAAAAACCGTTTATGATAAACGTAAGAAGTGTATTTAAGTAAAGGGAGATTATATAGAAAAATAAAGACTTTATACATTTCTATCAGCTATTGCAATATCTTAGGCTCAAAACTTTTCTGCCTACCCTCATAAATATGTATAGTATATATGGTTGCATGCAAAAAAAAAATTCTCATGCAGTTGTGTACACACATTTTTTATTTAATGAAGTTGTATAAAAAATTTTGTATCAGTGCAATACTCGTAATATTTATAATCTTAAGAGTTTGGTATTTAATTCCCATCTCATCGATTGATGAGTTAAATTTAACGTTTAGCTATTTTTTGGTATATGTATATGCACTTGTACATTTGTGTAGGTGCTAGCATGAGTATGTCCATGCATTATATGAATAGCCCTGTAAAAATAGGACTAGATCGTATACGACTACCACCACTTTAGTAGAGTTGAGCTCTCAAAAAAATACCGCTTTTCATATAAAATGGTTCGAACGATTTGCTGATATCCTCTTTAAGTTCTCTTTTTAATTAAAAATTATACCCTTGTTTCGTATATTGCATTTTTAATGACGCACGCGACAAGTATTGAAAATTCGTTGTCCATAAAAAAAAATTATTAGCAAGAACTTGTTATTCGGTAGAGAAAAGCATTTCCTATTTTGCTGGAAACGGTTTTCTGCCTACTGCTATGGAATCTAACAGTCTACTACTAAAGAAAATGGAGAAGCAACAAATTTTTACGGAGCGTGCTTAACTCAACTGTTAATTTGCTACCTTTTTATGTCTATTGAGTGACGTCGAAGTATGGACCGGATTTGCCTCTGCCAAGTTGGTTAAGGAAGCACAGCGAATGGGTCTGCTCCAACGCAGAATCACTCTTGCCAACTAGTGCTACTTTGAACTCAGGCAATTTAGAAGTTAAGTCCTCTCTCTCGCCATTCGAAAACCACTCTGTAAGTCACTCATCATGCCCGTGCTGGATTCGAATCTTAACGTCCGTTCACGGATCGAAAACCATACGAAATAAGATTGCGTGATACGTTAGTCGTATAAGCTGAATGATATAAAGAGTACGTTCACGTATGTCATAATCCGAAAAAGGTGTTTTTACGTGACGAGTAATGCGATATCGTATCTGACGATTCGAGCCCTCGTGTATGGCGCAGAAGTATGGACAAACATCCGGTAAGGAAGATTTACGAGCCGCTACGCGTTGGCGATGGTGAGTACGATTAGCTGTATAACGATATAGACATAGTGCAGCGAATTAAAATAAAGCGGCTCCGCTGACTTGACCATGTCGTTCGAATGGATACCGACGCTCCAGCTCTGTAAGTATTCAACGCGGGCCCGATGCTGATAACAGAGAAAGAGGAAGGCATCCTCTGCGTTGGAAAGCAGGTGGAGAAGGACTTAGCTTCACTTCGCATTTCCAACTGGCGTGCTGTTTTGGACTCGGCCAAAATCGCCTAGGTGGTTACAGCACCAATAAATAAGAAGAAGTAGTAGTAATATCGATTAGGTATAAAATCTATTTAAGAAGCATTCATACATCTGCAGAGTACTTCGACATTGGAACTCATATTTTCTAAACGAAGGAGGGAATACCATGAAGTAGCTAAAAAGGTTATCTTAACTTTGCTGCCTTCTGTCACAGCGTATCGTTGTGAAACAGAGGTTTCTCTTACACTTAAAAAAAAATCAGTTCGAAATTGGATGCTAGCCGAGAAATGCGCATGCAGCTTTTAAACACAATACCGAACTTTGTTGTTTAGTAATTTTAAGTGGGGTTCCATAAAATGAAAGGGATTTAATATGGTTCCATTATCTTAAAAGTTTGGGAACCCTCGGGTTAAACCATGGTGGGGCAATTTCCATTGCAGTTTTTTTGATGTGTGTTGAAAAGTAGATATGGCATCAAAGAGAGAGGTTCTCCACCCAACATCAAAAATATATGCATATGAATTTACATTTTTAGATACATTTGTCTACTTTTAGGTAAATTTGAACGTTTAGTTCTCCATCCCTGGCACGAACAAGTATTTTAGGATTTCAACGAATGGCTGGATGCTGTTAAATCGACGAAGAGGGGATTAGTGGTCCGCAGAAGTCGCCTCCTTTATGTTTTGCTTTCTGGAACAGGCGATTGAAAATTCAATTTTTAAGTTCCAAAAGAACGATTTGTATGACAACATACAAATACATACGCACACCAAAAGTTTCTTAACGTTCAAGTACCCACCACGCAAAACATGAGAAAGAGGTAACAATTGTCAATGGCAACAAATTGGCGACTCCGCGGTTTATGGCGGTGGTGACAAATCGGCAACATCATTTCTTTTATGTAAATTTCGGAATAAATAAGTTATCAAAAATTCCTAAACTTATAAATTTCGCGTCGAGAGTACTATTATCCAAAAGCGTCTAATTTACACCAAAGACAGGATTGAAATAAAATTATAGTTTAAGAAACTAAAACCTTCCTATTATAATTGCCATTCGTACTGTCATCAGGTATGTAAATTGAGAATAGAAATCGCAGCATCTTTTAGACGTATCAATATTTCATAGTTACATCCCGAGCTAATAAAAGGAAGGTAAAAATAGGAAGCCCCATAGCGAAATAAAGAATTAATTCCGTTTCTAAGTTGAAATTTGGAATACAAAAAATAAATGAAGTATTAAAAAGAATCAAATTATTCCAAATATCGCCTGAACCGATAAGAAAACGAAT